GCAATTAGGAATATATAGATAGTGCATGAGTAGGCTGAGGCTGGGGAGTTTGATGGTAGTTCTTTGGAGCTAATCTAGAGGCAATTAGATAGGGTTCGAAAAAGTTCATGTTGAAATTGGGGTGGAAGGATTTGCAGAGCAGAACTAAAGACAAGAACTTGGTAGCCCTCCTAAATATATAATATTGGTTAATTTAATTATGTTGTTTCTATATTATTTGAGGACATTGTTGTGTTGTTGTCTTCTTTTGGTTCTTGTTCTTTTGTATTAGATAATAGTTCTTCTAGTAGTGCTGTTGTTTTAGCCATGAGGGTTTTGGAGGGGACATGACAATTTCATATCCCTAGAGGTTGTTAACCTCTCCATTTTTACCTGTCGGAGGTGGTAACCGTCGTAACAATTTGGTTACTGGTTGTACTCTTATTTGAGTTATATGTTATTGTTGTTGTTATCGTTGAAAAAAAAAGACATTAAAAAAAATGGTGGCCAATGACATTATCTTTTAACTGAATCAATCAAGATGATGCAAACAATAGGAACAAAACGGTTCATGCATTTACTTGCTTTTAATTAATAACCAAGTCTTTGGGATATTATTTTTTAAGAATCATGACTTAAATTTATTGATATTTAGTTATTATTCACATTGTCTTTTATATACATTTTATGCAAACTTGATCACTATCATAATTATAAATATGTAAACATTTAATAAGCATATCATTGAGGCTGTCAAAAAGAGATAGGTCAATTGGAAGTCTGGTATTTTGTCAGCTGCTGGAAATGAGGTTTTACTCAAATCAGTCATTGATGCACTTCATATTTTCTCAATGTCATGTTTTTGTCTTCTTTTGGGCATTTGTAGGAGTATTGCTAGGTTGACAGCTAACTTCTGGTGGAGTTCTAAAATGGAGCAGAGTGCTGATGTGCATTGGAAGTCATGGGATGTGGTCACTTTGCCAAAAGATAGAGGTGGTCTTGGCTTTAAAGATATGATTTTGTTCAATGAATCTCTTATACTAAAGCAACTTTGGAGGATCTTATCTAATCCTAATCTGCTTGTGAGCAAAGTGCTCAAAAGAAGATACTACCCATCTGGTTCAATCATGAATGTGCAAAAGAGTACTTCTGCATCCTGGTTACAAGGAAATTGGCTGGGAGTCAGGGACAAACACAAAGACCACTTCAGAATCCTAATCAGGGATGGAGTCTCTACAAATATTTGGTAAGACCTATGGATCATTAACCACCAGAAGGCTGCCCCTATGTTAAAAGCTGGAGTGAGCTTACAACTCACAACAGTCAATCAGCTTATGAGTAGTGATGGGAGGAGGTGGAACCAGGCTTGATAGGTCGAAAAATGTGCACGTTTTATATGTTTAATAGTGTATTTTTATACGCTTAATTTATTAGCACATTTATATTTTTCGACTTATTTATTATTTGAATGGATTCATACACTTTGATATTTTTATATATATTTTCAGTTCATTGAAGTATTTTGTGGACGTGAAGCCATTGATGAAAGTTCACGTGATAAATTATCGCCTTCCCCGATATCAAGCGAATTAAGGCCCATTACCGATACATAAATGAGTTCAACCACACGTGGCCCAAAATTAGAGCAAGAGGAATTAATTCTTATGGATTTTAAAACAAACAAGCAGCAACAGTGGGCTAGGAATTTTATTTGCCAGGGATTTGTTTCATGGGCACGCCACGTAGACAGGAATTATTTACGGAGGGGAATTTAAAGCAGCGGGACTGGCCCAACGAAAAAAAGAAGGGACGAGAGGAAAAAAAGAAGTAGAGAGAGGCCATCAGACGCACGCAGGGAAAAACAGAGAGTCACGCACGGATCGAGAGAGAAGACTACACACGCGGAGGGAAGCCGCACCCGCACACTAGGGAGATCTTTAATCTCTCTTTTATCTAGTTTTTATTTAATTTTAGTATGATAGGCTAGATTTTTATCCAGTTTTAGGGGATGTTTGAACCCTAACTTTGATTTGTCTATGAATTGAAGGATTTATGTTTATCGTTGATTAATCTAGACGGCGTATTTATTTTGTTGATGAGTTGATTCATGCTATCTATGTTTAATGTTTATGAACTATAATGTTTGATTTAGTTTGGCCAACTACGTTAAATATTCATAGTTTAACTGCTAGATACGAGTCTTTAATCCGTAATTGTTATTGTCTTGTTTCGTTAGTAGTAATCTAGGGGTCGTGCATCCTTAGGGTAACATGAGCATAAGTTAAATGGTCCGAGCTTGCGCGTCCATTGCTTAGACTGATCTATTTTCCTAGTAATTAATGCTGCTAGTGAATTAAATCTACAGAGCTTATTCTAGGTTGTCTGCTAGTTAGGCTTGGTCGAAGAGCTTATTTCGACTAAATATTATGTAAGGGAAAATTCGGTTAACAGAGCTTGTTGTTAGCTAGGGTCGGTAATTCATTAGCAATTTAAAGAAAGCGTCGAAATTAGTTAACGGTAAATTTAGATTGGGTGATAACTGAACCGAAAACTGGACTTCTCTTATTTCATTTGATTTTTATTAGCTTTGGCATAACTATCAGACTGAACACATCACATCTCTGTTGATACCTCTGAAACCCCAAGCGCTTAATGCGCTATCCTACCCGGGGTAAGCGCAAAGACTTCTGAAAGCAAGGATGGATGAAATGAAGGCATTTATTGGGAAAATAGAAAGAAGAAGAGAGAAGAGAGTGGTCTTGGTAGCACGTCTGCGCGCTTCAGACTCTCTACAACAAGGAGATGCGCCGAACGCTCAAGGCCGCTAAGGCCAAGTCGGTTGCGAAGCTTCGGAATTTTATTTTGTTATTTTTATTTTTATAAAATCAATCCCCCCCATATTTATTTGCTTTCTTAGTTTAGTTCGATTAATACGAAAATTGTCACGACTTAATTGCTGCTCCTCGTGGGATCGACCCTTACTCGCCGCTACTACTAGTTAGTAGAGGTTAGTTAAGGAAACATTATAAATTTAAATTTGCCGCGTCGTGACGCGCGGTCAAACCAGGCTCTACTCAGGGAGTTGATCAATGAAGAAGATGTGCAGACAATACTGAAAATCCAGAGTCTCAACAGAGAACATAAGGACAGATGGATGTGGACTCCTGATATTAAGGGGATTTTTTCTGTTTCTAAAGCTTACTCACACATTATTCAGAAGAAATTCAGAGACATAGATATAACTGAAGGGAGTAAGTCTGCTGAGGTAGACAAAAAAATTAGAAGAAGAAGCTGGGGTCTGAAAATCAAAGGGAAATTGGAACATTGTGTTTGGAAATGTATTAATAATGCCTTGCCAGTTTGCCTGAATCCGCTGAAGAGAGGTATGGAGGTTGAGACCATATGCAAATGTTGTGGGGAGGAAGTGGAGACTGTAGAACATCTCTTCTTTCTTTGCTCTAGAGCACAGAAGATTTGGAAGCTAGCCCCTCTTAGCTGGGAAGGAACTGACTGCCCTCAGGTAAATTTCAAACTGTGGTGGTATAATGTGTGCTCAGTTGACATGAAGCAATCATCTGAAGAGAGGATTCAATTGACTACCTATATCCTATGATGGTTGTGAAAGTCAAGAAATTTGTGGAAGTTTCAAAACATCCTCATGCCAGAGCAGACAGTCATTAACAATGCTTGGAGGGATTGGACAGAATTCAAAATCTGCAGAAGATAGTAGCTGTGAAGTTCAAGGTGATTTGTTCTAGGTCCTTGTGGTTTAGTGGTTCACTTCCCTTGGCTCTTCCCAGTACTTTGGTGATGCTCTTGTAATAGTTTTCTGTTTGGAATTGCTGCTCTTTCAAGTGATTAGCTGTTCCAGCTGCTTGGGGGAGTTTGTGTATTTTTTGGTGATTGCTTGTTTGAACGCCCTATTTTATTTGTTATTGTTGCTTCGTGTTTCGTCTAGGGCACTAATTGAGTGACCCTCCTAGTCTGTTTGTTATTGAAATCAGTTGGTTTTGCGGTTTGTAAGGAGATTTTTTATATATGAGATACTTCTACTGTTTTGAAAAAAAAAAAAAGCATATCATGAAAGTATTACAAAAATTCAGAATAATCATTATCCAAATAACACAACACCACTCATTAAAGTTTGAACAAAATCCACCAAAATTGCCTATTTTTCAAAGTTGTGAAATCTACAACAATCATAGTTGAATACACCTAGGGCTGCAAACGAGTCGAGCGGCTCACGATCCGCTCGCGAGCGCTCGAGTCAAAGCTCGACTCGAGCTCGAGTTTGACCGAACTCGAGTCGAGCTCGAGCGGCTCGAGCACGAACTCGAGCCTATATTTTACCTTGTCGAGCGGCTCGTCGAGCAGCTCGAGTTATACGTCAATGACTAAAATACCCCTTATTATATATCTTAGCATAGATGCTTAACGGTAATTTTACCTATATTTCGAGCCGAACTCGAGCCGAGCTCGAGCTTTTATTTTCGAGTCGAGCACGAGCCGAGCTCGAGCTATTGTAATTTCTTATCGAGTCGAGCTCGACGAGCTCGAGCTCGAGCAGCTAAAAAAAAAACTCAATCCTGCTCGATAAGGTCAATGCTCGACTCGGCTCGGCTCGTTTGCACCCCTAAATACACCTCCTGTAGAATATTTCTACTCAATTTAACTGCACATAAATTAAATTATTAACCATAAAATTTTAGACAGAAACATATCAAACTATTTTTTATAACTGGTTTTCTGTCAGAAGCACTAAAGCAAAAAGACTCAACAAAAAAATGTCTTATAAAAAATAGTAAAGGAATATACAAATACATCACTTTCTTCACTAGAAGAAGGACTCCATAATCTTGCAACAAATTAAAATAACATTGATTGGATCCAAATTATATATATATGACTATCTAAAATTAAAAACACTTCACTGTAATAATATATACAAACATAAAAAAGTAAACCCCAATTTAAGGGTATAATATTTACAAAATGTTTCATTTTTCTTCATTGTCACTTGCCTCCAAAGCCATTCAACGGTCCCATGAATTTAGCAGAATCCTGGAAATAAAATGCAATTGTTTGACCTAAAGATTTTGAAATGAGAAGTGATAAAAGTGAGGTGGTTGGAAAAAAACATTTTTTTTTTTTTTTGTTTAAAATTGTGTCATTTATGTATTGTATCGAAAGTCTACGTTAGACGTGTGTCAAAAGCAAGGCCGGTTCACGACCCGGCCCAACGGGTCGGCGGGCCTCAAATGCTGGGCCCGGAATCGGCCCGGCTACATCTAAGGGCCGGCTCACTACCCGGTGGTTTTATTTTTTAAAAAACAACTACGACCCGTCTTCCGACTCGAGATCGGCCCGGCCCGACGGATAAAAAAGAAATAAAACACGACCCTGAACCGGCCCTTCAGGAGTTTCGGAAAGTTTCAAAAAACCGACTTTATCGGGCCGGTTCGACCGTTGGCTAATTTATCATTTTAATCTAGAATTAACATAAAGGATATAAGAAATAAGAAAATTTTGAATATAGTAATTTCTTGAAGAACCAATAGTAGAAAAAAAAATAGAAAAACCAACCAATCGTAGCCACTTGTGGGGCTCTTGGGCTCGGAGTTGTGCATAGCATTAGCAGCAGATTTTCTCCTCGACAGCTTCTTAATGTTCCCACCCGGGCTACTCGCTAAAAACAACCCCAAATTAAATCAAAGATATATTTATACTTTTAAATTAAAATTTATCATCTATATATATATAAATATTGGATTATTTTTTAAATAGTAACTATTTTCCGTCAAAAAAATGTTATTTACTAATTTGGAAACTATTTCAACATTTTATGGTATGTTTTAAATATACAATTTAGGTAATTGCGACTGATTTATTAAAGTAATAAATCACATAAAAAAATTATTTTGTATCTCAAGATATGGATATCATATAGTTGTACATATATATCATATATTTTTACCTAAAATATCGAGATTTATCACTTTCCTAACAAACATTAGATTTACTTATATATATTTAAATTAATCATATCAATAAATAATATTAATGTATATTAAATATTTATTATTATATAAAAAAGGAATATTATTTATATAAGTTTTATAAATAATATTGAAATTATATAACAATATATTTTTCAATAAAATAATATTTGAGTATTATAATGAACCAAAATATGTAAAATTATTAGTTTTTTGTATTAAAAATAAATATATAAGTTAAAATGTTATTTATATTAATATAAAGGGTCACAGGCTAATACATTGTCAAAATAAAATTGTGCAAAAATATTTTAGGTTAAGAAGTATTACAAGCTAATACATTGTGAAAATAAAGTTGTGCAGAAATATTTTAAGTTAAGAAATTCCTGTGCGCACGGAATTCTTACTAGTTTTTCATAACATAATATGTAATTTTTGTTGCAAGTTTTTTACGACGAATCGACCCGACTAATGGTTAGGCTACGCTATCAATTTAATCCCAAAATATCAACTTTGATGAAGGTGACATATATATCAATATAAAATGGAAATTATTCATACGAGAAAATGGCGAATTTGGAGCAGTGGATCCAGAAGGAGACGAAGGCGCCGATTGAGAGTCAACGGAGACGGTGAGATTCCGGTGGGCGTTGCCGCGGAGGACGGTGATGCTCCGAGAGATCTGGACGTCGTCAGGCGGCGGCGGCTGCCCGGCCGCGTTGAAAGAGTTGTACTTGCGCAGCTTACCGAGGCCCGATTCTGGTGCGGGCCCCGCCAAAGTTTCGTCCCAGAGCTTGTGAAGAAATCCCATTATTATCAATTAAATGTTGAAATTCAATTATATTCACAAAATATTTGAAATAATTTGCTTTTTGCAACAACCGTATATGAATTTTTTTGTGAGAGAGTAAGAATTGATAGAGAGACCGATATACGACTGTTACAAAGAAGATGATGTGAATTGAGTAAACTTAACTTTTCTTTTTTGTACCTTTTTTTTTATTCAGATGATGAAAATGTGTTTCGAGAGGGGGTCTATATAGAGGCGGAGAAATGCTACGGTCTTGTTACGGTATTATCCGTCCGGTTGAGTGTTTTAACCATTTATATCATCTATCTTATCTAACTACATGTGGATCTAATGGTTAAAACACCTAACGGAATGGTACCGTAACAAGACCTGTAGAGGCGTACATAAGAAAAAAATAGGCATTATTTGAATTTTTATTGTTTTTGGATTGGATGGCTATGAGAAAATTGGTGGCTGCCGGCTAAAGCGGCTTTGTTCGAAGCCGTGAAATATTTCCATGAAAATCCGATACGCTTAGCTAGATTTTAGAGGAATCACACGATCATCACTAGTGATATTTACTATATTTGACAATTAACCAATTGATGAAGAAAGAAATCATTTTCTATTATAAGTAAGTCGGGTAAATAAGTTTAGTTTTCTTGTATTTAAATAAGTTTAGTTTTGTACGACGAACTTTTAAAAACTTGAAGAAAATCTCATAAGCTTTTTAGCTGGCTTTTCAAAAAGATTTGTTTAATTTTTGTTTCAGTTTATTTAAACTGACCAACAAATTATACAAAAATTAAGATTAGGTTTCGTGGAAAAGAATTAGGGATTCTAGCATGTGAATTCCAAAAATCTGATTTTGGCCTATTGATACCTATTTTCCATGTCATTGAACACGTACACGTAGGACAATCATATCCACGTCATTTTTTCTTAGTTCCAGGGAATAAAGTTTGGTCGAACACGTGAGCACCAGTGGCCGGTTTCTGACTTTGGTGTATCGTTTTGCAAAGAAATTAAATGTCGTGATATTTTCCGTCAAAGTCCAAAAGTCATGATGTTTTAGCAATTTAATAAAAGTTCGAGATATAACGAACTATTTTGCCTAAATTAATCCGTTTGACTCCCCTTAATATAAGGTTGATTGTGTAATTCCAATGGGAGGGGATTCAGATTCTGTTCTGATTTTAGTAATGTCAATTAACATCTAAAGGGTACTCTCTATTTCTGAGTCTTCATTATAATTATTGTTTGATAAAAATAAAAATAAAATACTTCATAATATAAACAAAATGCATATGACATGTGCACCTCCAATCAAATATCCATTTACTATTGAAAATTCATGGTCGCTCAAAACAAATTTGTAATTTTCTCAGTTAAGCTAATGCAAGTGAAAAATTTCATAAAAGTATAATAATAATAATAATAATAATAATAATAATAATAATAATAATAATAATAATAATAATAATAAATCAACAATTAGTAGCCATAGAGCTCAACTGCTCGGAGCTTCATACATACAACTCTTATAAAAGCAAGAACCTAATGAGGGAATTAAAAACAAAATATTACTATAAGGTTGCACTTGATTTGCACCAACACAAACCCCTCAAAACTTCAAACTGGAACATGGAAGAACACGAATACGAACCATTCTGAAATTGCTCGCCCAGTGTACATATTCCATCTTAGCCGAGCACTCAAATGCCGAGTAAGGCAAATGTTAAGCGACTTACAAAATGTGACTTTCAGCTCAATAAACCGGGCAACATTCATCTGGACACACTCGAGTACCACATCCTGACACGTTATGATCTTTTGCCTTGGCCCATCTCTCCGATTACTGCTGGCCCATCTTTCTATTCTTTCTCCGGCTGCTCTCCCCAGCTCGGTGTTTTCCCAAATTTCCATTTGTCTTCAGACGAGCAGATACGGTTCAACGGAGGAGTCCATAGTTAAAGGAAAGCATTGAAAGCAAACTAATAAAAACAGAATTCGTAATTAATTTGCTCCCCAAACTGCATCTCGAACATTAAATCTCGAATTAACTTGTAAATAATTTGATGAAATCATGATTTTGTTATAACTCGGGCGTTAAATAATATCTTATCGTTCCGCGGGATGAAAAAAATCTCAGCTTAATGAATCATATTTTAATACATAAAGAAATTTCGAATATTACAATAAAAATAAAAGGAATATATAAGATATGATATATCAAACAGTTTAATAAAGTTCAAGGATATCCTGATAAAGTTTTCATGAATTTTTTTGTCACATTATTACCTATTATCAAATAAAAGGGAAATTGCAACTTCATATCAAAATCATAGGACAATGGGGTACTCTTATTAGTATTACTGGTTTATAATAGTTAAAATAGGTTAAAAATAGGTAGTGGTAAAAGACAAACATGCATACCCCAATGCAGAACCCTTGAAACCTGTTTCCTTCCACATCGAAATTGGTGGAACTCATATCACACGAGTTTCTCTTGTTTGAGATGGAAAAAGAAGGCTCGTTGCACGAATCTTGTGAAGATAACTGAGTTGGAGGTGTGACCGAACGAGTAGAACACTCAAACAACTCAGTGTCACCGTGGAATATCTCATCAAAGAGCTCTTGCAATTCTTGAAAAGTCTCGTTTTTATTTTCCTGTCAAACCATATACAGCTACATTTGAATAGCAAACGTACATAAAAATGCAATCCGAGGTGAAATTTCAATAAAACATTTTAAGACATTGGAAGCATAAACAAGCACCGGTATCTTGTCCTAGAGTCCAGTACCAAATAATTATTCAGATTGTTTCTTTTTTTTTTTCACTTACTTTATATATCATAGTTTGATCCGTATTATAGGTTGGATGTTTTGCACACGTTAAGGCTATGTTTGGTAACTAATTAAGCTAGCATATAGCTTATAAGCTTCTTGTTTTCAGATAAACTTTGTTTGGTAGGATGAACTTTTTTCAAAAACTCGAACTTATCTCATAAGCTTCTTTGGGTAGCTTTTCAAATAAACTCGTTGAAAGCTATAAATCATAAATTATAAGCTCCAAAATCAGTTATAAGGTATAAGCTAGCTTATCAGCTAGTTTTCCCAAACATAGCCTAAAACCAAATGATAAAAACCGGAACTCACACTGAGATTATTCTGGCTCATCATTGCAGCCATTTCATTCAAGAAGTCACCCATACCCTGCAATGTCATAACAATAAAATCAAACGAATAAATTCTAACCGTGCCATTATCTTTAAAATTCAAGAGCATTCAGCCCACAAGTTGGATAACCAGTAAAACATAATCCGACTAATATGACACAATTCAAAGACTGAACAGCTAAGCCTGCCATAAACATACAAAATAAAAGAACTACCAATGGATAGAAAAGGGATAAGCTAGGATGGGCTGAAATCAAGACGACATAAAGTATGCGCGTGCGTATGTATGTATGCGTATATATGTTTAGCCATTAGAACTCACGTGTTCGTCATCATCATCGTCGCAGTCATAGACTCCTACATCGTACAGAAACCTTTTGTTGGCATCCGAGAGCACTAAATAACATTAGCCATTCTTGTGAGTTCATCAAATTCTCAGTTAAGGGCGGGCTGATAAATAGTGGAAACAAATTACCAGAATAGGCTTGCTGGATAGCTTGAAATTTTTTCTTTGCCTCCTCGACATAATTTGGGTTCCCAGAAGCAGAAAAACAGCGATCAGGGTGCCATTTCTATTCACATCCAAAAATAAATAAATCCAAATAAATTACAAATTAATCAAAAATAAAATAAAACGTATTGGTGGAAGAATTAGAGGTATAATTTATTCCATCAAATCAAAATTTTCTAATTTTTCTAACCTCAAAAAAAAAAAAAAGGACTCTGTGACAGCTTATTTTTTGATAAAAATTCGATCTTTCGAACAAAATAATTCCATAACATTTTCCAAAAAAATTAAAAAATATATATATATAAAAATGAAACACAAACAGAAAGTCTCTGTGTTCACAAAAATCAATTCTTCCCAAATAAAAAATAAATAAATAAATCTAACCATTGCAAGCTTCTTGTACGCGTTCCTCAGCTCTAACGTCGTGCAATCTTTGTTCAACCCCAAAACGGCGTAAAAATCTTCGCTTTTATCTTCCTCAGCTGCCATTATTACCTCAACTCAAAGCTCAATTCAGCCCCCAAAAAAAACAAAATCCCCAGAGAGGTTTTCTTTAGTTGGAGTCTTGGAGAGGAGATAAAATGCCTCCTCTCCTCTCCTCTCCTCTCTCAAGAAGCCTCCAGAAGAAGCAGTTTGCACGACTTTACTAAATATATATACTTTTTTTGGGAATATTTTAATAATTGTTGTATGAATTGTTATTTAAATGTTAGTACTTTATTGGAAAAGAATGGGGTCCATGATAGAAGCAATTCAGTTAAAAACGTCTCCAATCCTTAATGTCTAGATGCTACTAACAATGACGTGGTTGGAAAGAGAATGAAAAAAGTCTAGCACTCCTTCTACATGTAGAAGTCATGTCGGACGTGATGACTCAAACTTTTTCTCCCACTCTCTTTATTTGTTTTTATTTTTATAATATAAAATAAATGAATAATTTGAAGATAGAACTCAACCACCCGAGACTTTTATATGAAATTGAATTTCTATTTGTTCCACATGGATGAAACACCTTCTACATACCCTCCAATTCATATTAACGATTGGAGATGCTCTTAAGCAACGACTGAGATTTGATTTCGAGGACAGATATTTATGAGGTTTATCTCTAGAATCTTCTTTATTAAATGTTATGGTATCCCTCTGTCTCGGTTGTTTATGAGATTGGGGTTTGACCTTAGAGCATCTACAATGCATTGAGTTTAGTTTTGCTTATGTGGCATGTAAATAAACCCAAGTCTTGGATGACGTTGATGAAATTATGTAAAATTGATAAAATCCACTCCAATGCAAAGAGACTAGGTCCCTACTTGAGTCTAAAATAGACGTAAAGGTAGACCGAGCCTCTTTTTTTGGCTGCCACATCAGCAGGACCCAGTCTACTTTTGTTTGCATTGGAGAATACATTTTGTTAGACTAGGTCTGTTTCTTAGATGACATACCATTTTTTGTGATTGAACCCAAAGCATTGTGGATGCTCTTAGTAAAGGTGATATAATTCACAATCATTCATGTGTTTCGTATAACTTATAAATTTGGGCCTTATTTAATAGAGAGGATAGGATAGAATAAAGCTACAAGTGATATTCCACTTGTGAATTTTTCATAAGTTCAAGCCCAAAACAGGTCGGGTAGAGAGAGTCATTGCAGGTCTTACCATGTTAGAACCAGAAGAAGAGAATTCGGTCAGAGTCATTGCATGTTCTAAGACATGCCACTCTGATACCATGTTAGAACTAAGAGAATGTGGTCCCATCAAATAAAGTGCACCATAAGAGGGTGAGTTTAGGTGCACCTTCTAAATTTAGATGGAGACTTTACGCTGTAAATTTTACCTCCATGCAATAGAAAATAAGGTGTACCATTGGATTTATGGAGACTTTACAATATAAATTTATTTTGAAGAAATAAAAATTTGTTTTGTTTAACAAATAAGCATCATACAATACAATATTATCATGTCAAGGCCCCTTGACTAAAATTAGAGCTAAGTTTTCTATCACCCATGCCTTAAATTATAAAACATAGAGTATTTATAACTTAGGTAAAATACTCCTGATTTTATTGATTGAAAATACAGAGAAAAAAAAAAGTTGTAAAATATAACAATCGATTAAAGATAATTTGGAAAAATTGTAAGATATACTTGGCCGGCTGTATACTTCACAATCACGCAGCCCAATCCATTCTAGTAGTATAGGAAGATAATACGGTCTCGTTTGTTGAGTCTAGAAATGGGTGCCACCCACTTCATTTGACAAGTAGCAAATGAAATAAAATACAAGAGCAGCCCACATGTTTCTGCCAAAATGAATAAAAAAGGTAGCAGCACACAGTTGGAGAAAAAAATTCAGCACCCATTCGTGGAAAAAACGGTGCACTTCCCCCTCTATAAATTGAGGGGGATTCTGATGGCAGACCAACACAACAAATACAGAAACACAAGAGAGAAAAGAGAGAGCGAGAGAGCTAATAAAAATTTAGCTTTTGTGGGTATTTGAGCTGTGAGTTGTGAGTGAGTTTGCGAGTGTTTTGTAAACACGAGTGTTTTCTTTTCTCCTAATAAAATTTTCTGCAGTAGTCCGGAGACGTAGGCATTATTGGCCGAACTCCGTTATCAATTTGGTGTGTCCAATTTTTTGCTTTTATTTCACTTTTATAGATCCGACTTCATGGAAATTTCAGCGTATTTTTCCCCAACATCGTTACCTAACCATTCCATCGGGTTTGTAATTATTAGATCAATTATTTCTGACGGTTACATGATGATCTAACGATTATAAACTCTAATAGAATGGTTTGGTTTTGTATGGAAACGTTAGCATTTCCCACTAGTATAAAGATATTTGGAACAAACGCTAGAAGGAAAAATTCATCCTCTCAACTTCTCTGTTTTTCTACAAGAAAATAATTGGACTCTTCTGAGCCGGAAAAGGGCGGCGGCGCGTCCGAATATCTCCCAAGAGCCGGCGGGTCTCACAGCGGCCGCCGCCTTCGCGACGGCTGCTCTGCCGGAAAGTTGACAATGTCTTTCGGGTCGCGATTTCTAGTTCCTTCGTCTCGTCCAGATAAATCTGCCTGTCTCTGCACTCCACACTGCAAAATCCCAAATCACCCCTGCAATTTCACAAGTCAAGAAAAATCAGAATATGTACATTATATTTGATGATTAATTTGATAATGTATATGCCCACCTCACCTCACCTCACCTGTACATATAAATCTCTTTATCAAGACTCAAGGGCTTGCTGCAAAGATGGCACGATTTGAGATAGCAGCAGCAAAGTGTTGTTAATGGTTTCGAAATGGGCTTGACAACAATGTTATTTGAATTTAAATTTGCAAGCTTTTTGAGGATTAATCTCAGCCCTTCATCATGATCATCATTATTGTCACCCACATATATTGAACACTTTTTCTTGCTCCTTATAGTTGAATACATCCTTCAAAGACTCTCTGATGTGCAGAACAGTGCAGAGTGAAGTGATTTTGATGACTGATGAAGATTGTATTGTGAGGTTGTGGGGAGTTTGGATATTTAATGGGCTTTAGTGAGAAGAAAATGGACACACACACACACACACACGTGACAAAAGTGAATACATATTTCTAACACGTGTATAATTGGTGTACAAGTTTTGAGTTTTCTTTTTCTTTTCTTTTTTTTTTTCTTCTATAAATGGATCATTTCTCGATTTATTTATGCGTGTCATTCTTGTGCAGGGATCATACTAATTAATCTTCTCGTTCCAATTTTATGGGATATCTCCGAAGGGACAGTAATAAATGGATACCAGTTAATATGCTTATGGATTGATATTGATGTACTCACATTCCTAAAAGTATGCTTGGATACAAAAATTTATCTAAAAAAATTCAAACATTTTTAACTCAACAATTTTTTTAAACTCAACTTTAACTCAACATCACTATCATTAATATTATTAATAATTAAATAATATCAACCAATCATTTATACATATCACATCAACTTTAATTCACTATTCATTCACTCACATATTTTTAACTAACTATCACTTCAAATCACATCTCTCATACTTTTATATCAAATCAACTTTAATTATTATATTTTAAATATTATTTTAATATACCCACTAACAACTAATCATATCACTTTTTTCAAAATTAACCAAACCAAACCAAAAATCTAAACAAATCCAAAATTTTTTATATCCAAGCATCCCCTAAACATTTTAAATGTTACATATTGAAAAAAAAAAAAAATGAATACGTAGACTTAATGTACAAAACAGTGTAATTTTTATATTGATATAGTTTTCTCGTGTGGAATAAAGCAAAACAAAATATCATTTCGAGGATATTTGGGAAGAAAAATAAAGTGCCCAAATTTCGAATATTATAAAATATCATATTTGCGAAGAAAATTAAAGTACCCAAATTTCGAATATTATAATGTGCTTCAGCTGTATTCTCATTTTCAAGAGTTGAAATTTTTTATGTGGATATATCCCAAGGGTACATAAATTGGAATATTATTATATTGTGCTTCAACTATATTTCTAACTTTTAGAGTTTAAAAAAATTTGCTGTTACATAAGAAGAATGCATAAACGGAATATTATATTATGCTTCAAAATTATTTCTATTTCCAAAAATTAAAAACTGTTTTTTGTTATTGGATGCGTAGTTTTTAAACCCGGCCTGGAAATCGACCGGGCAGGTCTCCGGGTCACCGGTTCAATCGTCGGGTCCGGGGTCAATTGATGAACCGGATAATTAATTTTAAAATTATATATATATATATAATATTTTTGACATATAAATTAATATATATAAAAGTAACAAAAATAAATATTTTGTATACAAAATTTGTACATTTAAGTGTTAATAATATTGAATCTCACAATTTATATTTACTATGTCATTATACAAACATAGTTTCTATTTTTCTATAAAAAAAATTAAAAAATAAAAAATTTATAGAGACCGAGTCAATGACCCGGGTCGACTGGGTCAAGGCCGGGTTGGTCGGATTTGACCGGGTCCATTGTTACTCGGTCCAAAGAGCCCACTCAAACCGATTTATGCTCCGGGTCGACCCATCAGGTCGGTCCGAGTCACAAAACAATGATTGGATGGACAAAGTCAAGAAATTTGAGACAAGTGCGGTCTATCTACTTTTTTTGCAGTGTAGAGCCCACCTAAGGTTTAAGATTTAATAAAACGTGAAAGTTGTGCATATAAATAAATATTTTTTATTATTCGTTACTGTTCGAATGATGGGAATTTTGTTAACTTGTTCCTTTACATAATAACAAGTCACGTTTTCGAGTGATATTTACCCACCGTCCGCTTTCAGTTATTAATGGTACTAGTATCTCACCCGTGCGATGCACGGAACATATTTATTAAAATAAATACATTAAAATATATATATATACATATATATATATCATAAAAGTAAATGACAAATAAATAACATTATTATTAGATAGTAAAAGTACAATATTATATGGTAAAATTTTGAAAAATTTCTCGATAGACAACATTTTTAGTAGTTTTCTTTTCCCCAATATCGTCGCCCCACATATTAAATATTTAATCCCTGTGGATTAGTGACTCGAGACCCATCAACGTATAATTGACCATGACTAATAAACACGGGTCTTTTCATGTAAAGTCCGACATGGGATAACGACTGCTCTTGACTCTTGTTGATTGTCATTGCGTAAGAAAACATAAGAGTAAATTGTCTACGTTGGAACTTGAAGGGTATTTGAGATCAGATGGAGTTAGGAAAAGTCTTGGTACCAATACCTTATGTCCAGCATTTGATCCTGTTAGAATCTTACATTCAAACACGTGAGTGAAACGCTTCGATATCACCAAGCGTGTTCCATTACACAGTCCAATCGAATGGTCAATGTTTCTCAACAACATGACATAAGTCCCAACCTTTAAGTGCAATTCATGATTTGGAACACCATAACATTTTATACTATTTAAGAACTCCTGAGTGTGCATGTCATGCAAGAAATCAACACCACCATCGGATTTGAATATGAGAGAACAATACACAAATTTTGAATATGAGATTTATAGCGTGAATTACTCATATTCCGTCCTCGAGTATCTTGGTAAGTTTGGGTGTATTTTGTTAAGCATTCACCAATAATAATGCTTAATTTTTATTGACATTAATATGATTCAAGTATTTTATTAAGCATTCACCGGCAAAATTTCATAAATGACACACTAAGTTGGCGTTGTCAACAAAACATACATTTTGTTGTCCCCCACGGAAAGGAAATATTTAGTTGACAATTTGGTCGGAAAATATACTTTAATCACTCAACCTGGATAAAAAACTGAAGTAGTCGAGATAATGACGTGACATTATAAATTTCTTTAATTTCCTACGTGTTATATACGTGGCGTTATGTGTCATCCTTCTTTCCAGGTACACAACTACGCATACATAAATAAAAATAAAAATTATCCAAAAATAAATAAATAATAAAAACAAATCAGAAAAAATAAAATAATAATAATAATAAATAGAAAAAAAAAATCCAAAGAAAAATAAAAAAATAGAAAAAATATATTTCGTTCTATTTTGTCAACTATATTTTAATAAAATATTTAAAAAATAATATTTTGTTAATATATATTTAAAATATATAGATATTTCGTTAATATTTCATTTCATATAAATATATTTCACTAATATATATTAAAAAATACTAAAAAAAGAAAAATAAAGTTCATTAATAATAATAATTATATATAATAAATTATACTATCTAATATAATGCTTTACATAATATTTTATTTATTTAATATATATAAGTATATTAAATATAAATCACAAGTATAAATTTATATTTAAGTAAATAAAAATAAATATTTTTAGATATATATTTTTGAAATAAATTAAAATATATTTTTAATATAAATTTATATTTTGTGATTTATATTTATATTTAATACTTATATATATTAAGTAAATATAATTTATGTAAACTACTATATTAAATAATATAATTAATAATAAATTATATATAATTATTATTATTAACAAAATATGTTTTAATATATATTCGCGAAATATATTTATATTTAATGAAATATTAACAAAATATTCTTATTAACGAAATATTAACAAAGTACTTTTTATTTTTTTAATGATTTTTAATATATATTAACGAAATATAATTTTAAAAATATTTTATTAATATATATAGTTAAGGAAATAGAACGAAATATATTTTTTTTATTTTTGGATTTTTTTAATTTTTCTATTTTTTTTATTTTTATTTTTTTTGCTGAGGTGTCTTATATTTATTTTTTTTGGATTATTTTATTTTATTTTTATTTATCTATGTGTATTGTGTATTTTGAGATAATGATGTCACATCACGCCACGTATATAACACGTATGAAACTAAAGAAAGTAATAATGCCACGTCACTACCTAATCCGACCACGCCAGCTTTTTTATCCAGGTGGGGTGATTAATGTATCTTTTCTGACCAAATCGCCAACTACATGTTTCTTTTCCGCAAGGAACAACAAATATCTATTTTGTTGACAACGCTCAACTTGGTGTATCATTTTTGAAATTTTACCAGCATTCACCATTATCATGTATTCATCTAATAACATAAATTAAATAGGTTATTCATAATAAATATTCTTTTTAACATGTTTTTGGATCTATGCGTAATGTTAGAATAAACTAAGACGTATGGTGATGTTAGCATAAACTAATAATGTTGCCTTAAAAAACATAATAATGACATATGTAGAGTTCATGATAGTAAATATATTTAAGGTATCAAGTGATTGGAATATGACTGAGTCGATGCTATATATTTTTAAATATATAGTAAAAGAATATTAATATATTTCCAATCATAATGAATTGAGTAAGTTAACTTATAATTATAATTTTCCATTCCTAAAATTTACCAAAAATAATTGAATACGAATTTAGTTATGTTAATGTATTTTCCATAATTATTTGGCATTCTTAACAAAAATAGGTTAATTACAATTACCCAACCAAATGTAGAAATGTTGCCAATTATAGTCATTGCATATTATCTATATTTAGCAATAAATTCCATCAACTCCCTCTTTATATATATATAGATTATTATTTCTTCGAAATAAAGTGACTTATGTCTTGTTAAAACAAATGAAATATAGATCAATTTTAGAACAGCTAAATTTTGATAGATCAATTATCAGGTCTTGACACATTGAGGATGCGCGGTGTTGGAATATTTTTTTTT